AAAAAAAAAAAAAAAAAGTAGCCAAGCTGGGGTCTAGACCTTGGGCTGAAGTTAAATCGGATGCGGTCTCACTGCCTCTCTTGCTTTGTGTCTAAGGTTTCAAAAGGGGTTCTTCTTATGCTCAGGTTTAGGAAGGTCAGGGAGTCTGCTCTATTTGGGAGGCTCTTTTCTTTTATTTTCTTTTTGAGATGGAGTTTCATTCTGTCACCAGGCTGGAGCGCAGTGACGCGATCTCGGCTCACTGCAACCGCCGCCTCTGGGAGACTTTTGAAATAGCTCTCTGTGCTTCGGAAAGCCTGGAAGCCGGTTGTAAAATTATGCCATATTTTTTCCTTTTTTCATTGAGAAAATAAATGCTTTCCACTAAGGGACTGAGCATACTTTATTAAACACTTCCCCATTGACAGACATTTGGATCATTTCTAATCTACATTCTGCTATGATAAACCATGTTGTAATGAATGACCTTAAACGTAAGTCCTTTTCGTGTGCATGTCCTGAAGAGGATTTGCTGAGTCAAATGTATCTTCTGTCTTAGTGATTATTGCATCTTCTCCTTGATAGGGGTTGAATCATGTTGCATTCCCCACAGCCTTACCAAAAGAGGGGGTCATCCAACTGCTGAATTTTTACCAATCTGATAAACGAGAAAGAATATCTCAATTTAGCTTGAATTTGCGTTTTTCTTTCTTTCTTTTTTGTTTTCGGGCTAGAATGCAGTCTAAAAATGGGTATGCCTATAATTGAGTTTAATAATAGAGACATGAAAAAAAATAAAATAATGAGGGAAGAAAATAGCTAACAAGCAGCCAATCAATATTTCATTTAAACCTGTAAATAGGTGTGATGTGGTACCGATAACAGTGTATATTTTGTGTGTTTAAAGTGGAGAGTTCAATAAATGTGAATTAAGTTTACTTGTTCCGGGTCTGAGTTCAAGTCCTAGATATCGATGTTAACTTTCTGTCTCACTGATCTGTCTAATATTGATGTTGAAGTCTCCCACTATTATTGTGTGGGAGTCTAAGTCTCTTTTCTTGTTTTTAGGTAGATCAAACGTCTCTTCATATGTTTAAGGGTCAGCTGCAGTTCTTTTTTTGTGAACTGTCTCTTCATTGCCTTTCCATTTTTCATGTATATTTTTTATTACAGATATGCGTGAGCCACCGTGCCCAGCAAGGCTGCCATTTTCAACTTCTATTTGTTTCTCCTGGCATCAGCTCTACATTTCTACAAAATACGCTGATACTGCTCTTTCTTGATTTTTCCGTGTGAGACATCGTTTATTGATTTCAGATGACGATTTAGCATCTCTGCCTAACCCTCTCACCATATGCTTTCCTTCCATGTAATCTTTCAACATAATGTTACCACGACACACGTTTCCATGATTATATTCATGAAAACATTGTTCTCTGTTGAGCCCAATTGCTCAATGATGACATTTCCTTTCCTGTAAATCTTTTTGTCTTTCCTGAAGTTATTAATTCACTCAAATGAAAAATCTGCTTTGTCTTTGGGGTGTCTTTTGTTCACAGAAATCTTTTATGTGGTCCAGTGCTTCAGAGAATCTGCCAGTTCCATTTTCCTCGGGATCTTCCTCCCTTGCACCGTCTGACACGTGTTCCCTGGATTTGCAGGCTGGCCAGGACTCAGCTACTTCTCCATCATTCCCGTGGCTGTCTGCTGTGCTGAATAGAGCCTTCTCCTGTCAACCCCTGTCTTGTTTTCTGGCTTATGCTCTTACCCTGATAAGCACATTCTCCAGTAACTTCCTAGGAAATGGTGCATTGGAAGTAAATTTTTTTTTTTTTTTTGGGACGGAGTTTCGCTCTTGTTACCCAGGCTGGAGTGCAATGGCGCGATCTCGGCTCACCACAACCTCCGCCTCCTGGGTTCAGGCAATTCTCCTGCCTCAGCTTCCTGAGTAGCTGGGATTACAGGCACGCACCACCATGCCCAGCTAATGTTTTGTATTTTTAGTAGAGACGGGGTTTCACCGTGTTGATCAGGATGGTCTCGATCTCTTGACCTCGTGATCCACCTGCCTCGGCTTCCCAAAGTGCTGGGATTACAGGCTTGAGCCACCGCGCCCGGCTGGAAGTAAATTTTTAAGGCCTTGCATATTTTTAGTTTTTTTTTTTCTTTTTTTTTTGAGACAGGGTCTCACTCTGTTGCCCATGCTGGAGCATGTATCTTGATCATGGCTCACTGCAGCGTGGAAGTGAGCCACCCCCCACCCTGCCCCTCGAGTAGCTGGGACCAAGGCATGTACCGCCACGCCTGGCTAATTTTTGTATTTTTTTTTAGTAGGACGTGGTTTCACTATGTTGGCCGGGCTGGTCTCGAACTCTTGACCTCAGGTGATCCACCTGCCTCAGTCTCCCGAAGTGCTGGGATTACAGGCATGAGTCACCCTGCCCGGCTTTTTTTTTTTTTCAAACACTTAAAACATTTTGATATTTCTCAGTGATGTGCCTTGGAGGTGTGTGTGTGTATGTGTGTGTGTATGTTTGTGTGTGTGTGCATGTGTATGTGTGTATGTTTGTGCCTGCATGTGTGTGTGTATGTGTGTGTGTTTGTGTGTACGTGTGTGTATATATGTGTG